CTTAGTTAGTTTAGTTAGTTAGTCGTTATATATATATATATATATATATATAATATATACAAACAGAAATGTATGGTCACTATCTCTAAAGTCAATTCATGCTGCGGTACACCCACTGTCAGTCAGTCAGTCAGTCAGATGCAACGTAGAAATTCGTACGTACGTACATCACTTCAGGTTGCCATAGCTCAGAGATGCAATTGTCAATTCAAATTCCATAGTAGTAGAGGTAGTAGAAGTATTAGCTGTATTTGGAGAGATTAGTGTTCGACGATATTATCCAAGAAGTATAATTCAGTGAAATAAATGTAGAAAGAGAAAGATAAAGTTGATGAGGAATTCAGAAGGTTAGAATTTCAGAAAACGCAAAGAGTGAATGCACCTGCTCCATTGCAAACGGTATTGAGCCATGTCATTCGAGCTCTCTAACCATCGGTGACTATCGTCTCGCTGGCCCCAACCAGGTAGTCGACATCCACCAACATGACTCAGTCCACTTGTCAATGACTTCATGGATTTCTGCCAAGTTTTGGTTTGGCCGCCCCGTAGCTTTCTTCCAACCTATTCCTGCACCACAAAACATCGCTCGTCGAGGCAGTCGGTAGTTAGGCCTACGCAGCACATGTCCCAACCACCTCAACTGATGAAGTTTCATTATTTGGTACACACACTAACACAACTTGCAATAATTAACTCGCTTTTAACTAATTTTTCCAGAATCTGCACATTTTTAATTAATCAAAATGACATGAGGCAAAGAATAAACAAATTAGATAATAATTAACAGCTGCACTCTAACTTAATTTCGACATCTATCTGTCTATCTATCCATCTATCTGTCCATCCATCCACACATCTATCTATCTATCCATATATATATATATATATATATATATATATATATATATATATATCGATTTCGTTGAACACTGTTTACATGCCTTAATTATCTATCCACTATCATATACTCACTTATAGGTGGTGTTCACAGAGAGAAAAATAATTTATGACAGATGTTTCAATTAACCAATAGTGTGTGTGTGTATGTTTCCATTAGCTTCTCATTTTTTTTTCTTTCTGTCTTGATCAATCAATTTGATTCTGATGTTTATGACATTTAAAATAGAAAAGAACGGAAGAATAAGAGCAGAATTCACAAAATGTTGTCAGTTTTTTTAAAACGAGCAAAAAGAAAAACTCAACTCCCTAATCACATTTGAC